GAAATGTTAGCAGATACTGTCTAAAAGGAATCTCCGCTACCCGACTGGTGGAGCCGGCTGCCTTGGCTTTACAGCAGATTCTTCTGGATTATAAAGGTGTGCTTGGAAAAGCAATTCTGTCTGCTTTTTTGTGATGTCTGTGAAGCAGCACAGGATCCCTGAATACAAATTCTTAGACTTGCATCTTCATCTTGCTATATGACCTGGATTCTTAAATCTATGCAGTGAAGGAGGATTCTGGGGACATCCTGCCCCTCATAAACGGGTATACGTTCTGTCTCTGGACTGTCTCGAGGAACCACCACTGGGGGATCTTCTCCCACAGAGACCATGACCGATTGCAAGAGATGCTTCCTCCACTGCTCATTCCCCACAACTCTCTCTGCGCTCCTGGTAACACGATGCCGAGTCCCAGCAAAGGCAGCTGATGCATTAGGAAACACAATGCCTGCAGATGTCTCAGCCAAGCTGAAGCAACATTCTTGGCAACTTGCTAGCTGAGGACCAAACGAGACAGTAAGTTCGACATGAGTGCTGAGGCCCGAGTCAACTTGGGAGCGAAACACAGGTGGGGAGGACTCCTGCCTTCCCTCTCGTGCCAGTCTCCAGAGTGAAAATGGCCATGGGAAGGCCCAATTTGCCCTGCTATGGGGCCATGCATACGCCGGCTGCAGCATGTGGAACTCTTCAGTGAAGCAAACATTTCAGTGTGGGAAGAAAGGTGGAAGCCACCCCCCGCTGTGCTTCTGAGCCAAATCAGACCCGGCATGCTTGGGAGCATCAGTTCCCCAACGGCATGGCATGGATAGCGGCAATCCCAGTTGAGTGAGTTTCCAACTCTACCAGGCTCTGTCCACAATTGTGTTGTTGTTGTTCAGTCGCACAGTCGAGTCTGACTCTTTGCGACCCCATGGACCAGATCACGCCAGGCCTTCCGGTCTTCCGCCGTCCTCTGAAGTTGGCTCAACTTCATGTCCGTTGCATCTATGACACTGTCTAACCATCTCATCCTTTGCCGTCCCCGTCTTCTTTGACCTTCAGTCTTTCCCAGCAACAGGGTCTTCTCCAGTGAGGGCTCCCTTCTCATTTGGTGGCCAAAGTATTTGAGCTTCATCTTCAGTATCTGGCCTTCCAGGGAACAGTCAGGGTTGATTTCTTTTAGGATTGACTGATTTGATCTCCTTGCAGTCCAAGGTTCTGAAATGTCATCAATTCTCAAGAGTTATTTTCTCAGGTTATCACATCAGTGTGCTCCTACAGACCTAATAAATCTGAACGGTCTGTTGTCTCTGGCCAGAAGTCACACTCTTACTTCCCCATCTTACCGCCTGCCCACTTTAGTCATCAGGAGTGGAGGAAGAACAAATTCCCGACCTCCTGAGCCAGTCAAGTCTGTTAATTCTGCCTTTCATTCTGGCCCTCCAACCCGGGTAATTTTTTCAAGGGCACTGCTCTTCACCACTCGAGCAACACCCAGGGGTGTGTGGGGTGGCTGTGGGTGCATCAAGCAATCGCCAGCTAATCAATGCAAACAATCGACTCGGGCCTTTCTCCCCAACTCTTTATCTTTTCCGTCTCTTTCCCAGTTACATTCTAAAATCCTGTACAAATAACAAACAAATCCCAGCATTTTAAATAGACCCTCCGTATCAAAACCTCAATATGAACACTCTACAGCAGACCATAAGTACAGGGGATGGGAGTGGGAATTCCAGGGCAGGAATTCCTTTGTTGTCGTCTCTGTCCTTCCTCGTATCCTCCGCAAAGGCCCAGGTCTCAGGGGGGTGGGGATCCCACATCTCGGGCACACCACTCTGGGGGAGGTAGTTTTGTGTCTGACGCCGTCAGAACAGACTGGGACGGTAAAGATGGCTCAGGAGCCGAGCCAGGCACTGTGGCCTCTACTGTGCTGTAAGACAACAGCAGCAGGACAGGGGGATGCAATGGATCACCTGATACCCGATCGATCGTTAGCCAGGTCTGGCCGAGCGGCCCCTGCAGCACTGGCGGACCGACTGGAGTTCTAGAATCCTCCCAGGCTGCCTGAAAAACAGCCCTCCAGAGCAGCCGCCCACCAGGGATGTCCAATGGCCAGTCCACCCCGGCATGCAACGGGGCCGATCTGAAGGGGAAGCCTGGCATACCCAGGGAGAGGGGGTGTCTTAAGTCTTCACAGGAGAGAAACACCACCAGGGGAAGCCCCTCCCCCCTCCCCCCAGACTCCCAGGACTTGATGGAAGTTGTTGCAGTTGTTGTTAAAGTTGCAGTACATCAATTAATCTGACCCTTGCTGCCCACCCCTCATATGCCACTGCTGTCACAGAGGATACAGACAGGACTTCTCCTCCTCCCTTTCCCCTCTTTTTCCTGTTCCTCTCCAGACTGCCGGACAAAGCAACCGAAGATGCCCCGGTGAGCCCCGCCAGCCTTAAGTGCCTGCAGTGGTTGCTGGCATTCCGGGCTCTGCCTTCTGTACTCAGCATTTACTTCACTGACTGATGTGGGGGAGCGTTTTATTTATTACACTAATACTTTCTTTTGCACCTATGCCAAGCTTTAAGGCCTGATTTTAAGAAGGAATCAGTCGTAAAACTAGCTGGCCCCGATCCAGCTACAGCTGGTACTAAATCTCACTGAAACCAAGGGCACCAAGTTAGCTGCAACTAACTTTTAACTGGATTGGAGTGCCTTTCCTTTTCTGGGAAGTGTTCTGAAAAGTGAAATCTGAAGTATGGCTTTGGTTGTGTTTCCAAGGAGGTGTACGATGATTTTTAGAAGACTGAGGCTGCAATGCACATTCACTTAAGTCAGGTGCAACTCATTGGGACTTACTTGCGAGTAAACATGCACAGATCAGGCTGCAGGAAACCCTTTTGGTAGGCCCAACGATTATGGGCTGGTTTATTTTATATGGAAAACCATTTTTTGTGATAAAACTTTCACATTTGTTAAGATTCAGATGAACTGGCGTAACTGTTTTGCCATATATATTCTGCAATCTTTTTATTGCATTCGAGCATTGACAGTATAATCCGAATGTTCCAACGGAAACCTTACTGTTTTTGATGTCTATGACAAATCATGCATGGGGTATGGTTGTCTCCATTCTCTGCAGTTATTAAAAGAAAAGAAAAATTTTCTCGATTGTAATACCCTGAAAAAACTGAGTGCAGGAACGCAAAAGGAATAAATCAATAAGCCCGGAACATTTCAAACACCGTCCGTGTCCTAAGCATTCCAGGCCAGAGGTGAATGCATGAAGTGGTCACCAAAGTAGGAAGGTGTATGTGTGTATATATGTATATGTATATGTATATGTGTGTATGTATATATATATATATATACAGGGGTCATTTCGTAGAAAAAGAGCTAGGGGGACTCATTAGCATAACTCATTAGCATATGCCACACCCCCTGACATCACCGGAAGTGTGTCCTCCCCACAGCCGGTGGCGACCTCCAGCGGGCACCAGCAGGGAGCTCCAGGCCCCGCCCTCCCGC